AAAAATACATGTATCTAAGTGTAAAATACGTAAAAGACTCTTAATTAGTTGTAAGATACATAATATTTTGAAAGTATAGGTAATAATAGTACATATGGTAATAGGGACAAAACCGAACTAAAAACTGCACCAAATCGTAAATCGAGAAAAAAAACTGACGATATTGGTTGGTTTCGTTTTAACTTTAAAAAGTCAACCCGAGACCAAACCAACCCGACATCATATACATAATTTTTTAAAATTATTTTATATATAAAAATATTTACTTTAATATAATTTATAATATTTCTTATACATTTTCATAATTTTTATTTTTTAACATATTATTTCAAGTTTGACTTAGAAATAGTCCAATAAAAGTTATATTCCATAGATATTAGTAATTCTAACAAAGCTCAAATCTAAATCAAATCAATATTATTGCTAACAAAAAAAATCAACTCATATACTAATTAGAATGACAATAATGTTGAATATTTATTCTTTAGTTATATATTGGTTTAGACTTATTTTAGCATGATTTATACTTTAAAATTATGATCATTTTCATTTTGACTTATTTATTTACAATATTTGTTTTATATGATTTCACTATTATTTTGTCGAATATTTTAGTCACATCACCCATATCATGTTGTGTTATTTTCTTAAGAAACACCTTAGATAATTATATTTTGGTAAGACTAAAGAAATATTTGAAACACAAGTTAATTATATGTTTGTATGAATACTTTACCGGAAAAAATCCTACAAAGTCGAGAAATCCGAAAAAACCCAAATTTATTGGTTTGATTTGGTTTATAGATTTAAAACCTGACATCAATGATTTGGTTTGGTATTTAAAAAATCTGAACCCAACCCGGTCCATGTAGACCCCTATATGGTAGTAAAGTATGTTTAATTATGTAGTTTTTCCTTAATTCTATCTATACTTTTAAATAATTATGTATCTTACCACTAATTAAGAGTTTCCTACCATATATTGAATAAACTACACCTAGATACATGTATTTTTGCTACCAGATACACTAAAATAGGGAGAGAGGTGAGCGAGATGGGCAGGGAGGCGAGCGAGATTCGTTATGTATCACAGATACATGCGAATCTACTTGGATACAGTGTATTTAGAACAAATTACACACCTAATTTTGACTCTATGTATCCCGAGATACATGTATCTGGATGTATCTAAATGCACCAAAATCTTGTAAGATTCGTAATATATCAAATTAGAGTGTATCTAATTAAGTAATTAGTTCCTAAACTAGTGAGATTTCTGAAGATAAATTGAAGATCCTTTTAAAATGGGTTAAAGATTGAATGTGTTGAAATTGACCAATATTTAAATTATCTTGAACTCAACCAATAAAATTCTGAGAGAATTGGATGTGTTCAACAATACTGGAGGCCTAAAGCCAAACTTTAGAGGGGAATCCTAATACTTATTAATTTAGTTTTAGAAAAAATAAATATTGTCACATTTATTTTAAAGGATGCGACTATTTAAATTATTTAGGAATTATATCATATTTTCATCAACTTCTTTTAGATTTTCTTCTTGAATGTTATTATCATCTAACTCAACTGTATTATTGACTTATTCATTTGAAGAACATCCTCACATATTTTTTAATTCAAGATTTTAATTATTTTTTAAGCATCGATCTATCAATGAATTCTTTTGGGAATTTATTTATTTCTTCAAGTTTTCTCTCTTTTTGTAAAATCAGAATCATATTTTCTAGTTGAGATATGTAAATTGAACAAACTTTAATATAATAACTAAAACAAGAATATATATACTTATGAACTAAGAATATCAACAATAACAACCTTTCAAGAAAAAACTATAAAATAAAATTAGAATAATAAAATCTGGCTCTTCAACCCAAAAAAAAAAACTGGCTCAAGAATATAAACTATTGTGTTCTTTTAATATAATGATTGATTGTTGGCTTGTTGCACTTCTTGTAATTTTAAAGTACACACAAAAAATAGATTTTGTTCTTTTATAACTTGTAAGCAAGAGTAACTAGTTTCGTAGAAGAGATTCCAATATTGAAAATAAAAATAAATAAAATAGAGAATAAAAGTGATGAATATAAGATATATCATGTATTGTATTGTACCAAAATAGGCTAATTTTGACAGTACAATAAAATAGAGAATAAAAATGATGAATATAAAATAGGGTCATTTCAACTATCGGTAAACAAGTTCTAATATGTATAATTTCCGACGGTTGTTTAGAATTCCTAGATCACTAGAGGATTAGATGAATGTTGAATTTTGAGTTGACCATGAAAATTAAATAAAATAAGAGTTTGATCCTTAAGTAAAGAGCAAAATCAAATTATGAATTAATGTATGACAAAAAGGCCTTAGATATAGAGGAGAGCATAATAGCAGTCACATGGGAGTTTGTTAATGATGTTAACTTCATTCACACACAAACATAACCCTAATTATGATTCCAAGATGCTCATCATCTTCATGTCATGCCTATACACTTTTCAGACTCATTGACCTACTTCATTCTAATTCTTTTCATCCTAGGATACCATGTTAGTATTAAAGAAATTATTCTGTCTCTCCAAATTTATATAATGCATATCAACTCGATTGAAAAAATAAAATAAAAGGGTAATATATATCGTAAGTATATTGATTTTTATATTATTAGATCATTTTCATCTGTTGTAATAGATAATATATCTTATTTTCAAATTTTGAATCTCATATTTTAAGAAGGCATAAAATATTATTTGAATGATCCGATATATCGACAAGATATATAATTATCATCTTATTAAGGATAAAATTAAAATTAAGATTATACTTTTATCTATTTCTTTGTTTGTTCATGAGTAGGGAAGACGCCCAAATGAGTATGTTTTTTTTGTTTCTTTTTTACCTTTGCTTGAAAAGGAATTCGAAGGTCGAAATTATCGGCAGCAGACAAGGACAATTTGACTCTACTTTTTCATGGTATTTAATCAAAAACATTTCTATAATCAATAATTCTTACTTCAATTCCCTCCAAAAAAAAATAAAAAATCTCTTGGTTTAGCAACTTTGGAGGATTTCTAGCTAAAGCAATGTTGACAAAAGGTTTTTGTAAGTATCATTTATTTACATATATATCTTAATTTAATCTCTTAGTAATGTGACTAGTCTTAAGCTATGTTAATAGTTAATTACTAATTGCAAGCTAATTAAGCTCTACTACACGTTTTGTCTATAAGCAAATATATAAGTTTCACTGTTTCAGTTTAATTTGCTTACATCTGCAAGTCTACATGTTGGAAAAAGACCATCTCAAATGTGTTCATCTTTTTGTCTATCGTTTCTCAAAAAAGGAAATGCCTTTTGTTTGAGACGAAAACTTTCTACTCTTCTTGTTGTTTTTCCTTTTTGCTTCTAAATTGTATGATCACCATTAAAAATGTAACATAATATAAAATACATCTATGATATAATTTTCCACGATAAATACCTATAGGGGCGGAGCTAGAACGTTACCTATTTAAGAAACTATGTACAAAAATTAAATTAAAGATCTAGTAATTCCTGACATCTGACATCTGATATCGCTAACATAAAAGTTTGAACTCATAAAGTTCAAATTCTGACTCCATCAGTGTTGATATACAAAACTCGAAATTTCTACGACTTTGTGGTCGGTATATAATGTAAATGTCTTTTCTTCTTGTTCAATTTGATATAAAGTTGTGTAAGTTTTTGAAGGAGAATTTTGAGTCATGATGATGCTATTAATTTCTGGTAAAAATTTGTGAGTGTAGTAATATTAGATTATTTTCTTTTGTGTGAAGAATGAAGAACAAGAGGCCTTTAAGCAAAGCAATTGCAAGAGTAATACTAATGAAAGACATCACTTGGATAGGTCTCACCTTCAAAGTTACGTAATACTGTATTTTATTTTTTGCTGAAATAATATTTCCCAAAAATGAAAAACAAAAACAAAGACAGATCTACTTAACCTAGAAGCAATAATATGATTCCTATATTTGCAAATGCTTATAATTAGCCATATAAAATGGATTGCTATCAATGGACGTTTAACGAAATACGTATCATTATTAATTGTAGCTTTGTTATTTGGAAGTATTTTTGGGTTGGCTTCTTAGAAAGCGTAGTAGTTTGAGAATAAGATATATTGTTAATAAAAGGAACCAAGAACATGGTATGGATCTTAAATTCCCATTTAGGAATAAATTTAGAAAATAAATTCACATACTCCCTTCCTCCCAATTTATTTTGCATCACTTGATTGAGTACGAAACCTAAGAAAGAACTTGTGGTCAAAAGTTGTCTCAGTGATCATAATAAATCATTTCATTAAAAGTAAAATGAGAACTTTAAAGTTGATATCCTCTTTGAAGCAGACTAAAAAGGAAAATTTATGTCACATAAATTGAAACAGAAGGAGTAGTACAACACTACAGCATGAGCGGAGGCAGCCTTCTGTTAGGGGGTTCATCCGGCGGAAAATATTACTATTTATACACAGTTAAAATGGTTAAAATTATTTTTATGTATATATAATAGATGTCGAACCCCTTTCGGTTAGTTCGTGTGTTTAGTCCTTCAAATTTTGAACCCCTTATTAAAAATCCTATCTCTGCCACTGACTACATAATGTAACATTTAAACACATATCAAATAATGGTTTACATAAGCAAAGCAATAGCTATCATACCATAAACATTATCGATAGCCCTGCCTTGACTGACATTATGAAAATGCTTCAATTACAACTCAAGCAGATATATAATGTATAATTCACCTATGCTTCAATCATCAAGCAGTTAATTCATCTTCTCTTAACTAAATTACTAATATTAGAAGTGTCATATAGTTTTTATTATGTACAATGATATTAAACAAATTAGATATTTAATCAACAAATTAAGAACTGTACTTTCCTATGATCAGTATTATTTACTTTGCTTATAACTTATAAGGAATTTCACTTCACTTCACTTCCACAGGTCAATCTGAAAACATGAGGACGATGCAGTGGAGTTATTTTCAGTGACTGTTTCTTGTTTGTTCAAATTCGATTCATCGGTAGCACCATGTAAGGTGTTTGCATAATCATTTTCCTTAGAGACTACCTCCTCTTGGCTAAGTTGAGAAGCTACAAATTTATCGAGCACTCGCCAATCGGTCACTTGATCAACAACTTGTTCTCGTGTGAGAACGGAGACAGACTGTTGCAAATTAGAGGTATTATTGTTAAAAACGTTAATTCCAAACACTGAAATTGAGGTGGATGGAAGAAGTTTAGGACTTTGTAAAAGAGGAAGTTGTTGGTGATGAAATGGGATTGGGATTTGGTATTCCTTCTTGCAAGGGTAATTATGTTGTTTCTTTGAGGAGTCAATCTTTGGCATCAATGAAACTTGATCATTATTATTGTCGTACCAATTTGGTGACTCCTGCTCACTTTCTTTCCTTGTGCTTGACATTTTCTTCTTGAAAACTCTACACACCACCCATCCTTCTTCCTGTGTTTTAAATTATCAACAGTCAATAAATAGAATTAACGTAGAATAATAAGGTAGGTGACCTAGTAGAATAGATTAATTTATAGTCTGTTTGGATGAACTTTTAAAAAATCAAAAGTGCTTATTTTAGAAAATTAAGAGGTTTGACCAAGTTTTTAGGGGGAAAGTAAGGGCTATCTACTAGTAATAGCAAAAGCTATTAAGAGTCTGTTTTGGATTGACTTGAAGTTGTTCAAACTTACTTTTAAGTCAGTTTTAGCTTTTTGAAATATTTGACAAAGTTAAAAATAATTTAAAATGACTTAAAAAGATTAAAAACCAAAAGTAGGACTACCCTTCCTTTCTATTTTTTGACTTAAAAGTCATTTAAACTTTAACTTTTTTATTTTTTGATTTAAAAACTATTTTTTTGAGCTTATCCAAACGAGCTCTGAGCTAAACAAAAATGTAGCTTCTATCCCGAAGCACCTTTGGAATATTGGTCAAACACAAAGTACTGTTCTAAAATTCTAATAACTGCAAAAATGTTTTTTAAATTTATTAGTGTTACTCTCCAAAAAGTACACTTTTTACCAAAACCACTTCCAACAAAAAATATATTTCAAAATAAGCAAATTTTAAAAGTTGATCAAACAAGATATTAGAGTTCAGTGAAGAACTTGCCTGATGGGCACCATTTGGATCAGTCTCAAGTCGATATTCATGCATAATCCAATCAGATTTGAGACCATGAGGAGCCCTTCCTTTGTAAAAAACCAAGGTCTTCCTCATGCCAATCAAGTCATGCTTGGAATATACAGCCTTGTCTCTTCCTGTTGCTTTCCAGAATCCTGCTGTTGTGGCTCTATTGGTTCTTGTACCACTTGGATATTTTTTATCTTTGTGGCTGAAGAAGTACCATTCATCTTCTTCTTCTCTCCCTATTCTGCATATTTCTACTCAAAAATATAGTTTGATAAGTACTTACTGTTTAATATTTTGGAATTTCTGATAATCATTATTATTCTCTCCATTCACTTTTACTTGTCACATTTAGCGCTTCATCAAGAGACAAACGACATGAACTTCGACTAATGTTTTAAGATGTATTTTTTCATCATATTAATATAAGAAGGATTGTGACCTATAGTAGTTTAGCTCCAATGATTAGTCAAATTGACATTGTTAAAGCAAAACATGACATGTAAAAATGAACGGAGAGAGTATATATATGTTAATAGTACCTTGAAGATCCCAAGGTTCAATCTTGTAGAGGTCCACCTCTTTAATAACATCTAGGTCAATCCTTGTTGAAGTGATTTTCTTCCTGAGGTAATAATCTACAAGTTCTTCATCAGTTGGATGGAACCGAAAGCCAGGAGGAACACGTGAAAACGAATTCATGATCTTGCAATCAAATGTATATATATGACCTGTCTGCATATATATCCACAAAAATAAAAGAATATCAGAAGACTGAAAATTTCTATCTACTTTGTTAGATTTTTTTCGTATTATAATTCCCAAATTATTAACTACTCTATTTAGTATAGTACGAATAAACATATGCATCAATCACCTAGCTAGTTTCTTGAATCAACTGAATGTGACTAGCTACAAAATTTGGAAGTCCAGTATTTGTTTGAATTCAATCAATTTGGGCTATATATCTTGCAATTAAATCCCTTAAAAAAAAACACTATGTACGTACGTTTAATCGCTATATTTCAAGTCCTACGTACCACACAGTTTATGTCTTTTGATTTTTATTTTAAGAAAATAGGTGTATGCTATAAAGTGATCTTGATTTGATATAAATTGTCTATTGATCAATTATAGTGACTTGCCAATGATAATTCACAAACAAAAACCTTTTATTATACTACCTTATCTTTTGCGGCACAAAATCATGATACTCTATTAGTTTACCTCATTAAATAACTCTAAATGTGAAAGAAGATCTTGGTAATAAAATTGGTATTCCCCTTCAACTATTATCCTCTCTCTCTCTCTCTCTCTATATATATATATATAATTACAAAAACTAAAATAAAAAGGCATCTCTTTTACTTGCTCAAGAATTATATAACATATTCAATTATCATTATATTCATGTCTCTTTTCTTTGTGATCGAACCACACATGCATATATGTTACATTTATCCTAATGAACTCTGTAAATTAAATGGCAAAGATGTATGTTTATCTCCATAATAAGGCTCACAGTCACATATATAGAGCAATTCGTGTTTACAAAAGAAGTGGCCGAAGGTAGATGATATATACTATTTTCATCAAAGCATTTCTAATGGTAAGCAGTTGGGAGTCTTCAACCAACTAATACATTAATTTACATTTCTAGCAATGAAAAAGAGCTTGAAAGATCGGACTAATTTCTAGCAAATATTATTCACATCAAACACCATTTTACCCATTCCCTCGTGTTGCTTCGTGCTTGGACAAACACAAACAAAGAAGATATATAGTGAAAGAAAAACATTATTTCTAAAAGGGAAACATAATACTGAAAAATAGATAGTTAGTTATAAGCAATTAATAAGTTATCTTCTTGCAATTTGATACAAGGAGGAGCATGACTACTGAAATAAATTATGTTAATGGATCAATTTTCTGATAGTTCACATATCCCACTTAAGCATGGTTAATATATAATCTAATCCATGAAATGAAATAGTATTCGCATTTAGGGAATTTCAGGTCCACATTTATTAGATATTAATGTCCTTTGACTTCAGGTAAAAAAAAAAAAAGAATAAAAATGAAATCTTTGTTTCATGCCAATTAAACAAATGGGATTAATCATGTTATTCTTAAAGGATACTCTAACAAATTAGTAGGATCAGTAATTCTTCAACTAAACCCATTTCCAATTGCTAGTCTTGTCTCATATGCTTTTAATTAATTAACCAAAGAGAAAATAATACAGTTATTTTACCAAAAAAGATTATACTCCATTACAAAGCATATGATAGTGTTGGAGTAACAATCATCACGACGGTTATCAAATAAATCACAAAGAATGAGTGATTATAACTACTATAGTGATTCTTCATTCAACCCTTAATTAAAAAGCCTGCAAAGACTTATGCTCTATAAGTCAATATTATAAATTCTGAATTCGCTTCGACTAGTGATGAACATAAAACTTGTTAAGAAAAGAAAAACAAGAGATCTCACAGATGGAGCAAACCTTAATTTCCAAGCGCACAGATCTGAATAAAGTTGAATTTGAGCAGAGAAGAATAAGGGTTTATATGAAAAAAATAAAAGAGAAGAGACAAGAAGACTAGAAATAGAAAAAAAAAGGAATAAAGGAGAGTTCAAAGTTGAATCCTCGGGAATTGTGGTGGATCTCCTGCTGGTCGTTTGGACCGGATCCCCAAAATGGAAAAAAGGCTAAGAGAATGGAAGAAGCATGAACAAATATGCTTATATAAAGTCACCCCACCAAACACACAAAAGCCCTAATGATGAAGGATAATGTAATACCAATAGTAAATATATATATACTTAATATAATACGTAATGTATTTTATCTATCTTTTTATTTATCTTTTAAAAGAAATACTTTTTTTATTTGTTTTTTTAGCACGTGTCTTGTTTAAGACTAAGTAAATAAAATTTTAGTATATTCTATGTATCATACAAATAGTTGAAATATTAGTTTTTATATTTTGTTCTCCCATCCCAATTTGTATGGTATCTTTCAGATTTTTAGAGTTAAATAGAGTTTTACTTTGACTGCAATCTTTTCATATGGTTTTAAAATAATTTATAATATTTTTTAATATAGTTTTCAAATATATAAATTGTATTTCCTAAAACATGAAGTTTCTATGTTCAAATTTGCGGTTAAAAATAAAAAAATGACTCTCAAAATTCACACAGTGCTATGTAAATTGAGACAAGAATTAACATTTTTAACATCCAACTATGTGTTCTTTTTTATGTTTCTCATTTCAGTGTCTGTATTGGAGCTTGACTAAAGTTGGATTCGCGAGAAGTTCCAAGCGCTCCCTAACAAAGACGACTTTATCCAGAGGGAGACTTGAGCCCGAAATCCCTAGTTAAGAATGAAGAACAACCTACCACTTTATCACAACTCTTATTGGTCCGACTATGTGTTCTAAGATCACAACATTCAACGATTATTTACAATGCATTTTTAATTTAGCACCACAAGATTTTCTTTAAGAAAATATAATATTTAAAATTTGATGATGTGATATATAGTAATTAGAGGGACGAAATAAAATAGAACAAGTATTACTATAGTAGAGCTTAAAATTAATTAGTTGATGATATATATGATGTCATTTTGCGGTTGACATAGCAGAATTGTTGGAAAAGCTTTTGGGCGCCAATTAAGGTGCCGAAAAACAAGCATGAGCGTGTGGGCAACTGCCACCTCCACTCACCCACCATTGATTACGACTTTCTTCTTCTTCTTTTTTTCCTTTTTTTTTTTTGTAAAAAAATTTCCCAAAAATGCCCCTCGTTGAAGCAGGCGCGTCAATGAAGACGTGTCATACTTCAGCCTCCAAACTCCTTATATAGTAAGAGAATATAGAGATCGGAGGAGAATAAGATAAGTTGCTCAGATGATAAACATCTTTCACCTTAAATTCTAAGATTGTAGATTTGAATAATCGAGGGAATGAAAATAATGAAAAGCTCCTAAGAAGGATTAATAAAAAGAGATAGTGTAAAAAATATTTATATAATCTGTTAAAAACGTTGTAAAAAAGAAAGAGAGATAGGAGGCGGATATAATTTTCTTTCTATTTCAATGTCCAAACAATAATAATAAGAGAGAAAATAATGAAAAAAGTTGCATTCCATGATAAAGAAAGGAGGGTAAACGGGGAATGTCAAAGAGTACTAGCTAGCCAATCAACAGCTTAATTCAATTTGCACAGGTCCATCTCCCCAAAGACCTACAAAAAGGAACTTAACTCAAATTCATTACTACTTCCTCCATCCAATTTTTTTTTTTTAACTTTGTGTAGTAAAATAAGTCACTTTTATTAATAGTAAATAGATATTTTACAGTAAAATCGTTACTAATTATAAAAATATGTACGTAATATTTTTTTAAAATGACTAAAAAGGAAAGTCAGTCGTATAAAAGAAAAGCCAATCATATAAAGGAGTACTTAAATACTATTTGAGTATATGTGAAAGTGAAAATATTTTATATCATGTTATCCCCCGGAGTATGGTGAAATACTTTAAATCCTTTCATTACCAAGAAGTGTTCTTTCAGAAGCACTTTATCATATTAAAAATGAGCTTGCTCCGAAATAAATAAAATAGTTGGATAAATAAATTCTGAATAAGAATAAAAAAGCATTTCTTGTTTTTGTTTATTAAGGTGGTGACGTGATGAGATGGTATTGAGGCAAATAATTATAGGTTTGGACAATATCTCCTGTCTAAAAGAGGTAAAATAAAGGTGGAGCAGACAGATCGGACAAATGGCATTCTCCCCTGTCCCTACCCTTTTTTGTGGACATGGTATGATATATATGAAATTATCATATCATATCAATTTTTTGATAATATTAGTTTGGTATTACGGTATTTGATATGATATATAATATATTTTTAAAAATATTTGGTACGATATTTGATATTTAGAAATAACATATCAATATATCGATATCATGTCGAAGTATATAGTTATATATATATATATTATTATTATTATTATTATTATTATTATTATTATTATTATTAAAATACTAACAAATATGCAACCTAATATTCATGTTTGAAATTAAAACTTTGATTACTTTATATTTTGTTTGAAATATAATTGCTTAACAAAATGAGTTGTTTGTACTTTCTTTTGAATATACATATTTCTACATGAGTAATGTGTTAGTGTGATACAATTGAGATCTTTTTTTTGAATTGTCGAAATCATAATACTCTATTAGACGTGTATATATTAGTCGAAATTGAACAAACTATTCTTACCGATTAATCAAATCATAAAATATTGAAACCGAATACTGAACCATACCGAATTAATGGTAATGATATAATAGTATTAAAAACGTCCGAATGCCGAAATTACAATATCGAAATTTTCAAATACCGTACCATACCATATTCACCCCTAATCACACTTGCAAATAAGTGTTAGCTTGAAAAAAATTTGTTCCAAAATAAGTATTGCCTTAAAATTTAAGATAAAAATAATATAACTATTTTCAAATTTCAAGAAACATCTAATAAACTATATATATATATATATATATATATATATATATATCTTATATTTATTATTTTTCTTAATAGGTATGAAATGATTTAAAACGATACTTATCGAAGGCGTAGAAAAATACTGCAATTGGGACCAGTTGAACCAACGAGTT